GCGTTCTTTCTCGCTCGCACAGAGCATAGCGCTCTCTTTCGTCATGCTACGTGCGAGCGAGAGAGAACGCAAGGGGCACGAAACAGAGTATGTCCTTTTCTACGTGGGCATCGGCCTCCACTCCTCAACACTCGGTCTAGATATACTATGTCTATGGTCTAGATATACTATGTCTATGGGATCATATGATCTTTGTGCTCTACTGCACATGCGCGAGAAAATCGCTCCGTTTCACGTCACTGACCACAAAAGCAAGAATGAAACGAGGAAGGAGAGAGATGATTTTATATTCTCGGAGCTCACGCGTGACTTTGCATGATTTTTATATTACGTACTCGGCCACAGCAAACGTGTAATAAATGAGAAAAATGGGAACCGATAGAAAGTGGCTTAACCGCAAATTAAAATGCGCGAGTCAAGCGGAGATATTGCGAGCGCATCAACGGGATGACGATTTCGTGAAACATCTGAGACAGAAACTATCCGAGATACTGCAAAACGTTGGAGTACATAGAACGTTGTTTCAATGCATTCAATCCGACATTCCGCTTAAATTAGTGTACTTTGTTTTCACGTCGGGGATGGGGAATCAAACATTGGGCGAGGAATACACCGGCATAGTACAGGCTAATCTAGAGGCGCGCAAAGTACCAACATTAACTGTACGTTTCAATGGGAAAGTTTATCGTGACGTATCTTCTGTGAGAGATTTTAATTAAATTTCGAATTCTCTCTCTTATTAAGGTCAGAGTATTGGCTGCGATTTTGGAATGCCTCGGAGAAAGAATATTACTCAAATTATTAGGGCAGTGTCAAGCGTACGTGAATCATCCACATAGCCAGCTGACACCAACAGCGATAACAATTTTTAATACCTTCCTGTCCAAATTACGCACAATGATACCTATAATTGTGCTATTCCACAAAGGAATATTTTATATATATGGTAGATACTATAGTCTGGGTAGAAGAATTGCAGGATTAGATCATACAAAGGTAAACTCTAAAAGTTTGCAATATCATAATTTTATTACTCTTATCCCTATGGAATATGATTTAAAGGTATACGGACCTCGACCAGTCGATACTGTCAGCTGGGGATTAAGGCTATTAGGAATTGCTACTTTAATTCAATGTCTACTTAGAACTTGGCAGTGTAGCACGAAGCAAGACACTACAATCATAAGTGTATCTAATACAAAATGTATTAGTCACAGTTGTCAGTTATGCCTCGAAGCAACAGCAACAACTGCAACATTATGTGGTCATTTGTTTTGTTGGACTTGTCTCAGCGAATGGTTACGTGTCAAACCGCAATGTCCATATTGCAGAGAATATGTTCCACCATCAAGAATTATACATATAATGAATCTATAACTTTCTGTGATAATTAATTATATTCCTTGAATATATATATATA